TGTGCATACACTGCAACGTAGTGTATGCGCATGATACACCGCGTTATCGGATGCTTTCTTGTATTTGGGCAGGTGTGGGGCACCACGCGTTAGAAAGCGAATTTTTCCGTCTTGGTGGGATATCGTGAGAGTACAGAATATCAACTGATATACGTAATTTCCTTTTGTCGGCACCCTGTGACTTTGTGGGTGTCTAGTTCATGCTTTAGTTCACTCGAATCGGTTGGTGAGACTATTAATCGTGTCTTACTCTTCCGTTTTAAGGTTTACCGATTAAGAAAGTGAAAAACCGCAACTATTCTTGACCAAAGGGTGACAGAATGCTCGCATCAAAGACTGTATCTACATTCCCAGAGTTTTAATTCCCAGTGTTACATTCCCAGTGTTTTAATTCGTACTAAGTAACGAAAAATTATTCGAAATAATAATGTAATGTAATGCAATTCATCAGCCCATAAAAATACCCTAAGATATTTAAAATTCAAACTACATACTACAACACTAAAAGCTGTTTTCCGTGAATGCCGTGCGTTAGACTTAAAGAATGTCATTGATCTTACGTTTAAATACCCCCAGAGACTCTGTGTTCCTTATATCGCATGGTAGACTGTTCCATAATGTGGCGCCATTGTAGCTAAAGCTTTTTCTGTAATAATTAGTGCGCGGTAATGGAACATTGAGTTTATTTTCAGAGTCGCTGAGGTCATAAGCAGAGTCACGCTATGTAAACTTTGAATACAGATAATCTGGAGCTAGCCCGTGCAGACATCTAAACATCATGGTGGCTTTATGAATTTCCTGCTTGCGTGCAAGATTTTTCCAGCCTAAAAACTCGAGTAGCTCAGTTGCATCAGCATCATAGTTAGAGAATGTCAACACCCGGGCTGCTCTATTCTGCAATTTCTGCAGTTTGTCTCGTAGCGTTTTCCCTCAGCTACCCCAAACAATGTCACGGTAATCAAAGTGAGGTTTTACTAAAGCTTGGTAAATGAGATGTAAGGTTGATGCTGGGATCAGGTGCCAAATTCGCTTTGGGGTCCCGATACCAGAGGCGATGTTTTTCGTTAGTTTTTCGATGTGACTATGCCAATCGAGTTTATCGTCTAGTATTACACCAAGCGATTTTGTAGCTGTAACCTGGCTCACTTGAGTATTGTTCATTCTAATTGTTGGTGAAGCTGTGAGAGTAGTCAGTCTCTGCCTCGACCCTATTAGCATGAATTCGGTTTTGGTCATGTTCAATGTGAGTTACGTTTGTTCGCTTGGAGCTAGTTGAAGACGTTTGGTAGGTCGTCATTTAGACAAAACTGAACATCTCAAGATTGCTGCCCGCATATGTGAGGTGCGTGTCGCCGGCATACATTCTCGGTTTACAATTTGATAAGCAATTTGGAAGATCGTTGATATGTAATAAGAACAATAATAGACCGAGGATGGTCCCTCGAGGGACGCCGCAAGTCAATGAGTGGCTATTGGATAGCGACCCGTTCACAGAGCATTTTTGTGTTCGGTTTTCCAAAAATGACTGAAACCATTTGAAAGATTTGCCATGTATACCGTAATAAAGTCACGCGATCATAGTCAAAGAGCCAGTAGGGTGCTAAATTTTACTTTTTTTTTTTTAAAGTTTTGAAGTTTAGTCACACTCTCTGCTTAACCTTCAGCGCAAGTTAAAGGGATTCAAAGTGATCCGGCCAAATGATTCTGCGGACATTTCTCACTTTTCCTTGCCTTATTAGGGGGTTTATATGCAGTGAGACGGAAAACCGAGAGTTGCATGCTTGTTTTTTCAGTCTTTAGTTTCTCTTAGAGACTTCAGTATCCGTTAACGTAGATATTACCGATGCCAAATTTACCTTTCGCCCAACTTTGCTAGTTTCCATAAATATGTTCACACTAAGTTTGGTAGGAATGACAAGAAACTCTCTCCGTTTGTCAAGAAAGGAGCACTTAAATAAACTTATCTATTTGTTTTTATTTGTTCATTAGAATTTGGTAGGTAGGTAATGCTTTCGAGCGTTAATTATGCTCATCGTACCACTGACAAGAAGAGCCTTTTTTTCTAGAAGCTATGGCTTTTTTCTGCTCTTTGTCCCAGTAAGCAGGTGCTGGGTCAGTACTGAACTTTCGTATACGCAGTAATTGTGTTGTTTCACTCACAACACGCACAATTAGCTACGTCGATCACTATGAGCCCTTTGTAGACCCTTTCAGAAGCAATTTCAAACCCTTCCGCCATCAGAATAGCTGACCTACAATTCACTCATGTCAAATGTTTACGTCATTGATTTCATTGCTGGTGTCATTCAATTACATCCAATCAAATTACACAGCGAAAGTCCCACTAATGAACATGCTCATACTTGCCCAAAGCAGGAGAAGTTTTCTTCTAGTCTTAAATATGATATAATTGTGGAATTTTCTTGGCTCACATGCTCTAAAATTACAATATTCTCGATTTTGCCGTTTGTCCTCTGCAACTGGGTCTCTCTCTATTGTTGTAGACATTCCGAACAACGAATATTTAGCAGTTTCTAAGCGTATCTTCCCATGAAAGAGACTGTGTATTAACGAACGATAAAATTTCGCGCATAGTTTGAAGGTAAAAACAGCAGAAGGCTGGTATTTCGTTTCCAAACAGACATGTAAAAACTTCGTATGGGAACTTTTACGGTGAAAATAATCATACTTGAAGACTTCAGACGTGAAAACACTGCTTTCGCGAGCTGTTATAAGGTATTACGTAGAAATGTGTCTCTAAATAGTCACGAAATTTCCAGCTTACTTAGAATCCAGCTTCGAATTCGATGAGTAGCTCGTCCAGCGTGTCGCCGTCTCCAAGTGAGTAGTAAGTTAAGATAAAGTCGCAAAATCCCTGATTCTTATATAACTTAGGAACTTCGTTTGATTTCTTTAAGCTCCGATCCTGTGACGAAATAAATGATTGGTACTCGTGTGTGCACAATTAATGTATTCGAAGCTGCTTGCAAGTACTCATGGTTACTTGTGCCATTATAATTTATGTTTTGACGATCCACACCGAAAATAGTTGGGCTATGCGTAGGTAAGTAAAGTTTAGTCATTTGACTTCCCCACATAAAGAAGTCACCAAAATAGCTTCTAGTTTATTGGAGGGCTGACATGTGTATGAACAAAATTCAAATTCAAATTCCGTAAAGCCAATAATACGCACTTACGAATTTTGAATTTTGCTAAAAAAAATGCTTCTCAGATACGAACAAGCAAAGTTACGGTCAGTTAACGATTCTCACCGCGATTGCTCAGGCGATCGACTTGATTTCAGTGGTGGGGGCTCGTTGAGTCTCGATATGGCTAAGCATTTTTGCGTACACTGACGCTCCCATTACGAAATTTAGCATCCGCGCCGAATTCTCGCCGGTCAATTTTTTCGCATCTGTAAATGAAGTCGAAGAAAATGTCTGTGGTATTCTTCTTTGCGTGTTGATCAGGTTTGAGTAGTTTGATAGAACCTTTTTTCCGAGTCAGTTTTTTTTCCGTCCGTTTTGGCGCGAAACCCGCATCGTTTTATCAACTGGTGCGCATGTTTGAAGATATGCACGACTGCAGTTTTTGAGAACGAGCTTGATGAATTCGATTACCATGCCTCTGTTCCAGTCTTTACCGTATCTCGGCACTAAGGAACAATAAAGACTCGCTTTACTACTTGTGACAAGTTTCTAAATCTCGTCCAAGGAATTTTTCAGCGTGTTTGTTAACTTATTACCCTGGGTGCCAGAGGGATTTTTTTTCTTTTCTTTTTTTTACGGTGAAACCGCGAAACCGCGAAACCGCCCCTCACTGTTAGCGGTTTCGTTACTTGATAAAATTACCCTCCGGTCTCCAGGGTATTAACTTAAGATTAAGATCGTAACTCATGGACGAAGAGAGAAATGAACCAGCAGTTTTCAAGGACAGCTCGTTTGAATGAGCATAGAAGTCCAAACAATAGGCTTTGCTCTCGAAAAAGTCCCTTGAGACCTCCCAGTAAAACTCGGAGGTCTCGAGGGACTTCAGAAACGATGGCCAGGAAATATTTTATAAATCACAAGGCGTTCTGTTTTCAACTGAGTCAGATCAGAGAGGGAAAAAGTGTTTATCTGAAAGTTTTGAATGCGCAAGCAAACGTTTCCAAACTTTTGTTCACCAGAAACGATCTATCATTCTTCGACTAGCCTGCGAAGCAAGCCCTGGGGGAGAGGAGGGGGGATTGGACTGAGCGGAATGTGCGGAGGGGAGATGGACTGTCCGCACTTTCCGCTCCCCCCAATCCCCCCTCCTCT